ATATTCAGTGTTGTAACTGCTTTGAATAGAGCTATAATTTATGAGTAGGTAAATCTCTGTTAATACCGTCATATATTACTGTAATCCCAACATATCAGCTATATATTTTTTTAATGATTCGACCTGCTATTCCCTGGCGTTTTATGGTGGTTTACTTGTTATCATTACACTCCTGAAAAGAGCGAAAGCCAGATTGGATTTTGAGCTCTTTACTTTCATAGAACGGTGACATTCTAGTTAATACAATGTTAATAAGAATGCCGCCCTTCCGGATAAAATCGAAGTTGATGTTCTTAAGATTATCAATCCGGAATTATCTCTAATCTTGACAAAACTAATTAACCACTGCCTCAAGCTGTGATACTTTGTCCTGATTTTGAGAATACAGCTGACCGTTCATTCATGTCATAAATGCATATTTTCAAGAAATGACATTTTTGAAACAATATTTTATTGAATTTGAATATTAATAAATATCATCTTCCATCATTTGTTTATGATCATATACGATTTACCAGATTTACACGAACTCGTGGGCACAAAATTGCCGACGATTTTACCTCATTCACCCTTAATGCGTTTAATCAAGTGTGTTGCATCTGTGAGTTTCATAGAGTACACCTTCTCCTTTAGCATACTCCATACTCCAGAAAAAGAAGTCAATGGAAGGATGGTTTTCTTTAAGCCATTTTAATCATTTCTGTGAAAACAAAATTGATTGTACAGGATGTCCATAAAGTTTTGGACAAATAGGCAAAATTTTCGCCGACATTTTATTGAATTGAAATTTTAACAAAAAAACATCATCATAATATACACGTCCCATAAATATTTCCTTCATTTGTGATACAAAGGTCGATGCTCTTGCCAATAACTCCACTATTTTAGCACATTTTCTCTTTATGCGTTTAATCAAGTGTGTTGCATCTGTGATTTTCATTGAGGACAATTTCTCCTTTAGCATGCACCAGAAAAAGCAGTCAATTCTTTCTTCTTTCGACACAACCATATTTAATCTGCGGAGTATAAAAAAAGATATAGTTAATTAGATTTCCTATGTGTCCAGACTTTACGAACACCCTGTATAAACAAGGTTTTCAATACGAAAAAAATAAGTTTTAAATTTTTAACAACATTTTATTGAACTGGTATATTAACAAATAACATTTTCAATGTTTTCCATCATTTGTGAATCAAAGTTTGATGCGCCTTGCATGTTTCACGTAAACTTGAGGCAATAACTCCACATTGCCGACAATTTTACCTCATTCACCCTTAATGCGTTTAATCGTGGCGTTTTTATTGAGTACACTTTCTTTTTCAGCAGACCCCAGAAGTCAATTCTTCCTTCTTTCGACAAAACAAATTTTAATCTGTGGAGTTTAAAAATATAATTAAAGTAATTTCCTATGTGTGTAGACTTTATGGACAGCAAAGACATATTGTACATTAATTCCCTTTATACAAAGAAGGTACGTTCACATTATTTGATTCCTATATGTTATTTCGTTTAAAATATAGGGATTTCTATTTAGGTTCTGTGTATTGAAGTATGCAATACTTACCTTGATACCTTTTTGGGTTATATTAGCGGATGCGAGCAATTTTGTTGGCTAATATTGTCAGCTGGGTTACATGTAGTCTGTGATCAGATTCTAAGTAAGACTGGTAAATTCTAACATTTGCCACACATTTTCTAAGCTACAATTTCGAAATGTTAAAGTCAATAACATGTTTGGTCTACACTGATCCAACGTTTTTTTATGAGATGGTCAAACCACGTGTTTAGCATTGACTATCTTTTTGTATAACCAAAATATGCCAAAGCTATGCCTATTGTTATTTATGGCTTCTGTTTCAAGGAGTTGTGTTTGCTTTCCAGTAAAGGAATAGTGGCCATTCAAATCTACTAGAGGTAACATTAATTTTCATTAATACAGTAATTGTTTTTCCTACAACAAAAAGCTTAGTTGATCCTCTATACTCGTGTTCTTTTTCTGTTGAAGCACATCTATATCGTCAGCCATCAGACTTTCTAACAAAAAAATATTGTATATATTGCAATATCTAACGCCATTTGTTCTCATTTATATCAGTTAACTTTGATCTTCCAAAATGTAAATGCAAAACCAATCGTTATCTTCTGTCTTCTTGATTCCACTTCTTTTTTCTTATATTTTCTCATACTCAGAAAAAACTTGCTTCATAGTGGCTTTATTGTCTTGCTTAGGGTGAAATGATTAACATAGGTCCAATGCTATCATTTCACAGTGCTTGGGCGTCAATATGAGGACAGTAAAAAGGATTCGGAAAGACTTGGATGAGTCTAATGTTGATTAAGAAGGTGTTTGGAATGATCACTATTGTTAGCGACGTTATACCACTAGTCATCTCCCCCCAGGGTCTTGGACTCAACACGGAGGCCTATATCAAGGGCCTTGACGAGGTAAATGCTTCCCTGTGTCAAGACGGTGGCTGCTGGAAGAACCTATGTCTGGCAACAAGACACTGCACCATGCCACACAAGCAAGATAACCCATTCATGGGTTTCAGACCATTTTTGCAATCCCCTAAATTTTCCCACTTAACTACCCGGACTGCAACCCCCTTGATTATTGTGTGTGGAACATGTTTTAGCAAGAGACCAACAAAACACCTTGTAACACCAAAGATGAACTGAAGGCTATGATTCAGGGAGCATTCACCAATTTAAACAGAGACCAACCAAAAGAGTTGCAGGAGATGCCGAAGTAATCTGGAGCCTGTTGAATGATTCATTGATGGCGATTTTATTGAATAAATTCACTCTTTAGTATTTCAAGATATTTTGGTGTAATTTTGGCAAATATACATCTGTTAAAATGAGATGTCATTGTTATTTCCTTCACTTACTCGTTTAATAGAGTCCAAAAGCGCATCTGCGTCCTTGTGGGTGATTAATTATTTTCTACCTTACAACTCGTCTTCCACAGACGAACCGCCGCGAACCCATCGATGATCTGTCGCCATTTCCATGGCATATTGTCATCTTAATAAGAAACTTTTGAAACCAAATTTTTGGTTAGCCTCTAATCTCTCTACAACAGAATATGTATATTCGGACTATTGTCTTCATCTTGCTATCTCAACGTTTAGTCCGTTGTTCTCTGCAACCTTCCCCGGGTGTATATCTATCAGTCATTCGTCAAAGAAAAATAAATGACAGCAATTCTCCAGACACACCAGCAACAGTATCAGTCAAAATATGAGCAGCAGTAGCAGCAGTGGAAATTTCAAATCTAATCAAGAGGTAAGTTTAGGTTTAAAGCTCCACGTTATTCTGAGTTACGCTGAACCACATTTCTCTTGTTTCAAGTCTCTTTTTCATATGTGAGGAGATTGTGTAGCATTCAGTGTCATATACGAGGACTGATATTACATAACATTTCAGTACTTCAATTTTTGTTTCTAACAAAATTTTCTGTTTACTAATATTTTTTAGGTTTTGGAAGACATTTTAACTATTCCAATTTGTACTTTCGGATTTCAGAAAAAAAAGGACAGGCTGGTTTTATTTTAGTTTTCAATAAACAATTCAAGCAGAATTGTGCTCACAGTCGGTAGAGTGAAACATTCAAATAATCCAATAATTACTGGCAACGCTCAGAGCTAGTCTCAATCATATTGAAAGAAAATGGTTTGGGAAATGAAATCGCCGTTTTGATTTGCCTAGAATCGAACATAAATAGATATGTGCGAGTGCTTAATGGCTTCCTACCTTTTCAGACTCGCCCACTTTATCACATTAGTATTCTGATATTTGGTTATTGAAATCTTCAGTAATACAGATAGATAGATAGATAGCAATGGACAGAGATAGATAAACAGCAACGGACAGAGATAGATAGATAGATAGATAGATAGATAGATAGATAGATAGATAGATATGTAGGTAGGAATGGACATAGATAGATAGCAATGGACAGAAATAGATAGATAGATAGATAGATAGATAGATAGATAGATAGATAGATAGATAGGAAGGAATGGACATGATAAACAGCAATGGACAGAGATAGATAGATAGATAGATAGATAGATAGATAGATAGATAGATAGATAGATAGATAGATATGTAGGTAGGAATGGACATAGATAGCAATGGACAGAAATAGCAATGGACAGAAATAGATAGATAGATAGATAGATAGATAGATAGATAGATAGGAAGGAAGGAAGGAATGGACATAGATAGATAGATAGATAGATAGATAGATAGGAAGGAATGGACATGATAAACAGCAATGGACAGAGATAGATAGATAGATAGATAGATAGATAGATAGATAGATAGATAGATAGATATGTAGGTAGGAATGGACATAGATAGCAATGGACAGAAATAGCAATGGACAGAAATAGATAGATAGATAGATAGATAGATAGATAGATAGGAAGGAAGGAAGGAATGGACATAGATAGATAGAAAGATAGATAGATAGATAGATAGATAGATAGATAGATAGATAGATAGATAGCAATGGACATAGATAGATAGATAGATAGATAGATAGATAGATAGATAGAAATGGACATAGATAGATAGATAGATAGATAGATAGATAGATAGATAGATAGATAGATTAAGAAGGCAGAATGATAAAATAAAATTGATTCATCGATTTATGTTTATATCAACAAATGACCAAAAGATAAAAGAACCCGCTTATTAACATCCTGCCTATTAAATAAAATTTCAAATAATAAAGACCCGATTCGTTTGAAGGCTTAATGAATATTAATAAGACTTTCGCCTCTGACCGACTGTATCTCATGCAAGTCAAAATGAAAGAATATGGCACTCATAAACATAGAACACGGGATATACTCGATGTGAGCCAGTGGTATTTTGAGGAGTAAAGAGTGATTCTATGAACTTGTCCAATACTATAAAGAGTTCCATGTTATGAGGTCGGGGGTAGTAGTCGCATTTGCGTCAGGCACTCCACTTCCAGGATTGCGATAAACTCTTTGTCTTCGGGCTGAGAGCAACCAGGTCGAGGCTATGTCTACAGGCAAAGTCTTGTCTGGAGAGGTAGACAAACCCGACCCCGTGTATGCTGGGTCTACGGGGAATTTTTGCTGCAGCCTACGGGATCGGAATCGCCCCATATAAAAACCGGCTTTGTGCCACATCCTCCCTTTTGGGGATATTCGTAAATACCCACTAGCTGCATCTTCGTCAGGCAGATCGCTGTCATTCTCGCGAAAGGCTTTTCGAACTCTCTACTTTCGAGCAGAGAGTAACCCAGACGAATCTATGCCAAAAGACATAGTCTCGTCTGAAGAGGTAGACAAACCCGGTACAGTGTATGCGGGTTCTAAGGGGAATTTTTGCCATAGCCTACTGGCTCGGAATCGCTCCACATAAAAAACAGCCTTGTGCCAAATCCTTGTGGGGAGTCTTTGGTCAATATCATTAGTCGCATCTGCATCAAGCAGTTCGATGCCAGCCTCGCGACAGAAGACCTCTTCAGGCAGAGGCTAACAAGAACTCCATCTTCGGGGGCATGGCTCAGTCGGGGATTTGTCTTCGGATATAGACTAGGCTGAGGAAAAGAGATCAGTACTCTACCCGAAACCGGTTTGTAGGGGGCTGGGTAAATTTTGACCAGAGGCCCGGATGGAAAACATACGGGTTGCCCACCATAAACTTGACCTTGTGTTGCATCTAGTCCACAATGGGGCGACCAATAAATACCAGAAATCTTATCGGAGTCAGACAGTTCGCTGCCAGGCTCGCGACAGGCTTATCGAATATTCTGCCTTCGGGTAGAGAGGAATCCAGACGAGACTATGCCAGACGGGGAGGTAGACAAAACCGACCCCGTGTAATCAGGGGTCTACGGGGAAATCTGACACTCACGCTATTTCTTCATGAAAGGAAACACCATTATACCTTGTGATTGACAGCTGACGAATGATTGCTAAAGAAAATCCAGCAACCGGGACCGAAATTCAAACTCTTTTTGCCGATTCCCTTTTGTTGCTAAATAACCGTTACGTCATCTCGCACTTCCGGTCGTTCAACTACTCAACAATAAAGCTATTTCAGGGTCTTCCTAATACAAATATTATTCTTTTTTATTCGATGAAGAATTCGTTGATATCATCAAATGGCTGACAAGGAGTGTGGCACAGAACGAGAAAAATTATGGTCCGCAACAAATCTGGCGGATACACCCGGATGTAGAAGAAATTACCCCCCCCCTCTGCATGATCGTTTGCGTTAATATTCATAATCTTGATATTCATAATGTTTGGTTATTGATAATGTTGGTTATTCACAAGGGTGATATTCATAATATTGATATTCATAATTTTGGTTATTCATAATGTTGGTTATTCGTAATGGAGATATTCATGATGTTGGTTGTACATAATGTTGATATTCATAATATTGATATTAATAATATTGGTTATTCATAATGTTGATATTCATAATGGTGATATTCATAATATTGATATTCATAATATTGGTTATGTATAATGTTGATATTAATAATGTTGGTTATTTATAATGTTGTTGTTCTTAATGTTGGTTATACATAATATTGTTATTCATAATGTTGATATTCATAATGTTGGTTATTCATAACGTTGATTTTCATGATATTGGCTATACATAATGTTGATATTCATAATGTTGATATTCATAACATTAGTTATTCATAATGTTGATATTCATAATGTTGTTTATTCATAATGTTGATATTCTTAATGTTGGTTATACATAATGCTGATATTCATAATGTTGGTTATTCATAACGGTGATATTCATAATGGTGATATTGATAATGTTGGCTATTCATAACATGGATATTCCTAATGTTGGTTATACATAATGCTGTTATTCATAATGTTATTTATTCATAATGTTGATATTCAGAATATGCAAATGCGTGTTGCAATGTAGCCAAATAATCTGTCGAATTACCTCCCGATAAAATTTTTCCTCATAATATGATTATCCAGTAGGAATTTATTCAGATTCCAACAGCTCGTAAAATCTTCGTAAAGGTTTAATTGGTATAATGGAATTTCTATATTTTAGATTCTTAAATCGTTTAAAATCATTCATATTTAAGAGTCATATTTTAGGTGCAGTCAAGTTGCACAACAAATATAAGAGGCGGGCTCGTTCTGATTTCCAAAATTTCGAAATTTCTTAAAACTATATTTATTAAGCCCTTTCAGTCTTTCCTTTGTAAGAAGAAGCATTCGTTTCCGTCCTTAATATTGAGTATATATTTAATATTGATAATAGAGGCTCACTTTGGTGTGTGGTATTTTATTTGCTAAGAACATTTCCAGTCTTCGACAAAGCAAGAGAAGAATGAAAACCTGGTAAACGTTTCTGTATTTTTCCTCTCACCTATTTTTGCTTTTTTCAATTTACCACTTTTCATTTTTGCTATCTTACCTGTTGTTTGATTTTAATATATCTGTTTGAATTGTAATTATTAATTTTTTATCCCGTTTAGAAACTGAATTTTAAGGCAGATTTAGATTTTTAAGAAAATCTGTGTGATTTGTGATAAAATCTTAATCCTGAAACTGCAACAGGAATTAATAAATTATAAATTAATTACAATAAAAATGTTGGCATTATTTTGCAATTTCACCTTTTTGTCCGGCTTGTAAACAAGCAATTATTAAAAATTTAGTTTAAAAAGGCAATATTTAACAACAAAAAATCAATTATAATTTTCTTAATTTTTTTCACTTTTTATTAAATATGGATTTAAAAAAAAACATTGTAAAAAAATGTTGTTACATTTTATTAAATACAATTTTTTTTTAAATTGTAAAATGCAATTTCAGCAATTTAGTTAAGAATATTTTTTTAAAAATTCAAGAGACCTTCAAGTTTTAGTCGATTCGTCTAAAAAATTAAGAAATTGACTAACTTCGCCTTTTGGGGACGTGAAAATGGAATAATCATACTGCATTGACTGCTAGGTTTATTGTTAAAAAAGTTGGTTCAATGGGTCATTCTTGATCAGTAGTTCCCAACCGATTTTGGGCCATTCCTCACTTTGGTATTTGTAAAATTCTGGTGACCCTCCCCACGTAATATTTAAAATGTTTTTCCCTCTTCTCATTATTTTAGTGTCGATTTGCAATCAACATAAATAACTGACCGTAATAGTAATCTTTCATTATATACACCCTCCCTCGCCGTATAAATTACTATAAAGTAATTTGTAACGCATTGTTTATCATCTCTCAGTTGCGTCTCTGTCTTTGGGCAGAGTGCGCTCAGGGCCTTCTCTGTCATAGGACAGAGGGGCAACTGAGAAAATAATACTAAGAGGTGCCCAGCCCTGGGGGACAGCTGCACAAGGCCGCGCCCTCCCATTGCACAAGAGGGAGGGACCGGTGTTCGCACCGAGGCCAGCGCCACCGATGATTGCGGAGGCTGTGGGTATTTTTTTCTCTTGCCCGGGTGCACGCGCTCGGGTCCCCACTTTAAAAAGACCTTGTGTCACATCTCGTCCTCATGGGGGAAAGAGTAACCAAACACCGTATATACACCGTCCCAGGTCTTTTGAAGAGAAAATAGAGGTTTATCACGTGTTTCCCTGTGTTTCTGGTTCCTTCAAAAGAAGTAGTTCTCACCCGATTTTGGGCGATTCATCACTTTGGTATTTCTAAAATTCTGATGCCCCCCCCCTGTAATATTTCATTCTTAATTGTATGTAAATTACACATGTACGTAAATACACGCAAAATATATTTATGTATGCATTCTGTATATGAATCGTATGTGTTACCAGGCATTAATATTGACATTTTCATTCATATTCACTAGAAAAGAGTTTTCTGTTAATAACTCATTCTCGAATTGTCTCCTTATTCTGTTGGTTTAGTAAGCCGAAAGCCGATTCTTGGCACACTCAAAGAAGAATCTGCAATATTATCGGTCTTAACCAGGCATCTCAGTTTCAGTCAGTGTCTAACTGCCATAACGTAGCTTCCGTGTGCTTTTTCTATTAATATTTTCATGATAATTGTTCTAATAAACTTTCCTCCTCAATTTGATTAATTTAAGCGTAGTTCTTGATTGGCAGCAAGGTCTCAACATATTACAATTAAAACTGTTATATGTTTCTGCAAGTTCTATGTTAACAGTTTCTTCCCTCGCAATTCTCGCTTGTGGGGGTTGTTCTAGTTCCACGTGCCATGCCTCTTCCGGATGTCTCAGTTATTTCCTCTCCAAGTTTTTTGGTTCACCACTGCTGTGGCCTAGTATTGAACTCCCAACACTTTGGGCTTAGTCAATGGATCTAACAAAAACATTTATCCACTGGCCCATGTCCATTTTCGGCACTTATAAACCTCAGCCGTCATTTTTTACCAGTGTGCATATTGCAATTATTTGTTATTATTTAGCACTTTACCAGAGCTTATATTGCAATTTTTTTTTCGTCATTAATTGCTTCTCTCTAATACTTCTTATTACTAGTTCCCATATTGTACCTTCTGTGTTTTTAATTTTTGTTCTTTTTTTGTTTTCTCCCTCCTTAATAATG